GATCACAACTAACTTCGCTAACCAAATTGTCATACATACATATATGTATCAGGCACTGGAATGCTTTTGTGATACTCTTCAATCAGTCGGGGAAATATGGACGGGTGATGATAAATTCATGGCGGAGTTGAATGAGGACTCAGATAGTAAACTACACGACGATCTAAAGCGTTATGGTACGTCATAATGTTACATGGATACTAAATGGCAATGTTCTGCCTCTTTTATTGATCTCTCAGCTCTGAGTACTATTGCTGAATTGTGCGATCGTTTCATTTAATAGGTTGAGTTGGTAGATATGACACGTTTTATTTACTTAATTATATCATCAACATTTACGGTTTAGGATTGGTATTGCTTGATGAGATGATTAAGCTAGCGACTGAAAGGGTGTTTGATATGATGGACGTGGATGACCAGACGAGAGATGAAAGTCCTTCATCCGACGCATCTGGGATGGTTCTGTCAGAGTCTTGCTCGAGCAATGAGTTCTCCCCCTCAAGCCCTCCACCGACACCAACTTCCGTTCTCTCTGAGATAGTAATCAATGGTTCACAGAAGAGTGAACTAAAGGTTCAAGCAATTGAGAAGCTGAATCCTATAGATGTAAAACGCCTCTATTTCCACTTGCTGCCTCATGCAATAGAGCAAGATCAAGATTGTGTTGTTCAACTAGCAACCAACTTTAGTGAACAACAACCAGAAATACAAGCAGGGGATGATTGTGAATTTGGCCAAGATTGTGACATGACGGACTCTCCAAATATTCTACTGACTGATGTGGACAATGTATTAGAAAGTAGAGCAAAATGTTCCGCTGGTGCTTCAAATAATCAACCAGTGTCAAGTCCTGTTTCATTGGACGTGGGTTTACCTCCATCTACGCTTCCTAAGTTGAGATCAAATGTAGCAGAACAAGCAGCAGCTCCACTGTCACCAATCACATTATCACCGAATGTCACAGAGTCACCACCAATGACATCAAGAAACTCAGTAACACCTCCGCCTCCACCCCCACCACGCCCTATGGCGGTTCCTCCACCGCCACCTAAGACAACAGGAAACATAACAACAGTTCCACCTCCACCACCGCCACCTTCCATGACATCCCAAAGTCTAATATCACCTCCACCTCCACCACCACTTCCCATCGGATCAAAGTGTGTCGCACCTCTACTGCCACCTAAGAAAACAGTAAACATAGTAACACTTCCACCTGCACCACCGCCACCTCCCATGACATCCGGAAATGTAATTTTACCTCCACCTCCACCACCACCTACCATCGGATCAAAGGGCATGGCACCTCCACCCCCACCTCCACCAATGGCTTCTAATGGAGCAATGCCAGCGCCGCCTCCACCCATGCCAATGGGAAAGGGACCTACACCTCCACCACCACTAGGATTTATGGGTGTTTTACGAGTTAAGAGAGCAGCCACTAAATTGAAAAGATCATCCCAAATGGGTAATCTTTATCGACTACTCAAGAGCCAAGTTGAAGGCTCTAGTTTAGATAGTAAATCACAGAAGAGAACAGGGAAAGTTTGTGCTTCAGCAGGAGGTAAACAGGGAATGGCTGATGCATTAGCAGAAATGACAAAGAGGTAATCTTATTAAAATCCTCACCTATTATCTGGTGGAATGTCGCTTTTTTCAGTAATTTTGAGTTATATATTTTGGAACGTGCAATGTTTGTCTCAGGTCAGCATATTTCCACCAAATTGAAGAGGATGTTATAAATCATGCAAAAACAATCAAGGAGATAAAAATGGCCATTGCTTCTTTTCAAACGTCAGATATGTCCGAGATCGTTAAATTCCACAAATATGTAGAATCTCACCTTGAGAAATTAACCGATGAATCTCAGGTTCGTATATATATCTGCTTTGTTCATATTCCCATTTCACGACATTGGCTTGAAAGTTTCTTGCTACAGGTGCTAGCAAGATTTGAAGATTTTCCTACCAAAAAGTTGGAAGAACTTAGGATGGCAGCAGCGTTATATTCCAAGTTAGACTCAATAGTCACTACTCTAAAGAATTGGCCGATAGTCTCACCTGTTGGCGAACACCTTGACAAAGTTGAGAGTTATTTTAACAAGGTACATAGAAACTAAGTTCCTGAATCTAAAAACTCTTATTAATTATTCAGCTGCTTATAACAGCTCTAAAAAATAGTTCTGTCGCATAGATCAAAGGAGAAATTGAAACACTGGATCGAACAAAAGATGAAGAGTCCAAGAAATTTATTAGCCATAATATTCATTTTGATTTTGGCATTATCGTGCGTATCAAAGAATTAATGGTAGATGTTTCCTCAAACTGCATGGAACTTGTCCTGAAGGTTAGTACAATGTAATAATATGCAGTTAATTCTTGTGGAAATTAGGTCCTGATAATTTGGTGGACTTTTTAATAATATTGGAACATTGAATCAGGAGAGGAGAGAAGCAAAGACAAAAAATGATGGGCACAAAAAGCTGGGATCATGTAAACTACTATGGAAGGCATTCCAATTTGCATTCAGAGTCTATACTTTTGCTGGTGGACAAGATGATCGCGCTGACAAGTTGACGAGGGAATTGGCTCAAGAAATCCAAACAAATCCTAATCAATAGACATATATAGTTGTACCTAGAGGTAGATGGAGATTTTGAACAATGGGTTCAACTGAACTCACTATTTTCGACCGGAATACAGATATACACGTAAAGGAACCACTAAAAATTCAACAAATATTAGATTATAAATTCACAATTTTAAAAGTATGAGTTGGATGCTAAAAACATCAAAGGTTAAGCCCATCAAGTTTAAATCCTGAATTTGCCTTAGGTTATACCGATTCTTGTTCAATAATAGTAATGTCAATGTTGCTGCCTTGCCAGCTTATGAGGGCATCGCTGAACTTAAATGCATTTGAGAGACTTGAGCAATCAGCTCTTTGAAGCATTTTTTGGTACTAATTATCAGGCATATACTAAGAAAACAATTGCTATGCATGATATCAAGTTTTGTTTAGACTGCAAGTAAGAATTAAGCTAAACATTATACATAGTAACTGGTTCTGTAGCATGTTGGTAACTGTACCAGATTGTCCATTCTTATATAATCAAACATTCAAACTATAAGAGAGACTTGTTACTTCAGTGTTGCCTAGTTTTTGCAATACCATTTTTTGTAATTCTTTTGTTGTCATAGATCGACAACAGTCTCTCTACTTTCATAAGATAGGGGTAAGGTTTGCGTACACTCTACACCAGGCCCTACTTTGTGGGATTACACTGAGTTTTTTTTGTTGTTGTTGTTGTTGTTTGTTGTCGTAGTATTTGCTGTGAGTACTGAGACTGACGTTATATCTCATTTTTCTGTTCCTCGAATTATGCTCTTCAATATTTGCTGCGAGCCTTGAGGGATTAGACCTTCATCAGAAGCGGATTCAGTATTTAAGTTTTATGGGTTCAACCTTTAAATTTCTTAGTAATGAAATTCGTTGCATTCTTAAAATTATGGGTTCAAACATACTATTTGTTGCAATTTTAGTTAACTTTTACATATAAATTTATATTCCGTGTCGAAAGTACTGGGTTAAGATAAACCGGTGCCCCAGTACTGCTACATCCGCTTCATACCGCCAATTGTGCTCTCCGCTAAGTGTGGTCATGTTTCTCGTCTTGCATTCCAGCTACTAGATACTCTTAATGGTGTGAGGCCTTTTGGGGAAAACCGTGCAGACTTGTTCCAAAACGGATAATATCACACCATGTTAAGAGTATCTTTTGGCCGTTTTAGCCCCCAACAATTTGAAGTGTTTATCGGTTAGAACTACAGAATTGTGCACATACGTCCAAACATGTACAAAGATTCGATGCATCTCATATACTTTTATGTATTAAAAATCTACTAAAGTGGATAATATAACTACTCATGTATAAATGTAGCTCTAGACCTTACCTTATGTTACCCTACCACGTACATCATACAGTTACAGCAGATGGAAAGATATGGATATATTTACTTCTTTTTTAACTTTTTATAAGCCCAAGTCTTAAGAACATGGCATGTAACAAAACATCTGCTTCTACCATGCCACACCCTCACACAAAGACAAACTAAACCCTTCATCTCATGTTCCCTTCCAATTAGAGAATACTTTGAACTTAATGAAAGATTGAAATTGACACTTCTTGGATATTATAGACACTTCTTGGATATTATAGACTTCTAATGAAGTATCCAAATGTGTATTTCTTTTATAAAAATAAATAAAAAATGGTCAGAATACAAGAGAATTAGTTTTGTAGTCCATTACAAATGTTATTTTAATTATATGACTCTTTTCACATGAGATCAATAAAAAATAACATATGTTTGTAGGGTTAGTAGTGGACATAAGAGATCATTTTTTCCATATCGAATTTTCGTGTCATGTAGATATTACTAATTAAGATGAGTTTTTACAATATGGTTTAAAAATAAATATAAAAAGGTCAAACTACAAGAGAATTAGTTGGTAAGTCATTACATGTGTTATTTTAGTTATATGACTCTTTTCACAGAAGTTCAGTAAAAAGTAACATAGAAAATCTGTAAATAAAACACAAGAGATGTTTGTAGGGTCATAAGTGGATGTAAGAGATCATTTCTTCCATATCGAAGTTTGCGGTCATGGTGATTTTTCACAATATGGCTTAAAAATTAAATATAAAAAGGTCAAAATACAAGAGAATTAGTTTTGTAGTCCATTACATATGTTATTTTAGCATATGATTCTTTTCACAAGAGAAGAGTAAAAAATATCATAAGAGATCTCTAAATAAAATATGTAGAGAGTATGAACAAATTAAGAAATGATTAGGAAGAACTCATATATATTAAAAAAATATTTACTTGTACTCGATATTTACACACTTAAAAATGACAAAAGGATTTCTATATAAAGAGAGAATGACAATTGATGTTACCAACACTCAGAGCACTACACACATTCACATCATCTCTTTCCCTTACTCTCTTAGCTATCTTCCATGGCATTCCTTGCCAATCATTTATCTTTCTTCCTCCTAATTACTCTCTTATCCTCATTGCAAATCCATGCAAGAGACAACAAATTCTTCAACAAAATTTCCACCAACAACAATGGTCATGAAAAAGAGACAAAGGAAGTAACTCCAAACAAAGAGCAAGAACCAAATTTCATACCTGAAAATGAAAATGGCTATGGTGTTTATGATGAATCAGGTCAGCTTTCACCTTCTACTACTACCCCTATGAATAACCTTCTTAATAGCAAGTACCTTCCCAAGAATTACAACCCTGTCGCATATGTTACTGTCCCTCAGGACAATCCTAATAACAACAACGACGACAACAATAATAACAACTACAACCAATATTACAATGGTGATACTACTTATGGCAATGTCACCGATAACAACAATAACAACTACAACCAATACTATAGTGGTGACAATACTTATGACAACGGCGACAACAACAATCAGTACTATAGTGGTGACAATACTTACAACAACAACAACAACAACCATTACCACAATGGTGGTAGCGATTACTACAACAACAATAATTACCCTGGCAAGAATGTTGGCAACAGTTACTACAACGATCAAGAACAAAGCTATCCCCTTGACTATAACCACTATAATGTTGGCAATGGTCAGGGGGTGCAGAAGCAGCGCATGAGTGACACAAGGGTCTTGGAAAATGGGAAATACTCCTATGATGTCAATACAGAGAAGTATGTGAGGGATCCACATGAAAATTCAAGAGAATTTGCGAACTCCTATGCTGATAATGAGTTAAGCAACTACAACAACGTCAATTTTGTGAAGTATGAGAATGAAGAGGAGTTCCAACCAGAAGGGGACATGCCTTGAACTAGCTTTTTAATTCTGCAAAAGTTTTCAGTTAATGTGAGCAACATGTCATGAGTTCCAGTATTAGTGTTTCGTTTTCAGTTATTGAGTAATGTTTTAGTGGGTAAAATATTAGTGTTTGTCCATTTTATGTGACACATTTGGGCATTGTATTGTACAATTGATATAATCTTTTCTCTTACTCTTATCCCTCTTCCATGACATTCCTTGTCAAGCATCTACCCTCCTTCATCTTCCTCCTAATTTACTATCTTATCTTCATTGCAAATCCATGCAAGAGACATCCAATTCTTGAACAAAATTCCCACCACCAATAAATTGGGTCATGAAAAAAAGACAAAAGTAGTAATTCCAAACAAAGATCAAGCACCAAATTTCATGTCTGAGAATGAAAATGGCTATGGTCATAAGACAGCTTCCACCATCCACCTCTAACCTTCCTAACAGCAAGTACCTTACGAAGGCTGGCTTCAAGGTAAGGACATTGAAGCCAAAATAAAATAAAATAATAGGAATCTTTACACAAATAGTCTGCCGGATTCACTACTTTTCGTAGCTGGTATACACAGATTGTATACTGGTTATACATGGTTATGAACATATTATACATATATTATACATTCATTGGCTATTTTTAATTTAAGTGAATGGATGAGCAACTATTTAGATTAATTCTTCAAAAATAAGGTCCCCGAAAACACTACTATTATATGTAACACATAATTTATATAATTATCATTGGTGAAAGGTTTCAAATTTTATGGTCTTTAGTTTTTGAATTTGTTTGGCCATTGAAGCCAAAAACTAAAGGTCCCATGACCCATCAAAATACAATTATTATATGTATAATATAGCACATAGTATAATAATTATCAATGGTGAAACTTGAAAGGTTATAAGTTTAATGCTTTTTATGTATTATCAATGGGATTTTATGTATTATCTCATGCTTGGGATAATACATAAAATCGCCCCTGAATTATAACGAAATTTTCAGTTACACACTCAAATTCCGGGAGACCTATTACCCCTGAGTACTTTTTGTTGAATTTGACAAGATTAATGTGAACTAGCGTGAACATTTGAAGCCTCCTTTTAGGAAGAAATTGATAGATGCATTTTTCATGCATTTACATTGCATGATCACACTTAATATGATGTCATGCATGACATTATTTCGGCCATTTCCCTTCTATAAATAGAAAGGGTTTTGTTCATTTGAAAATATCTCTCACTTGCCTTCTTTTCTCCTAAGGCATTCGAATCTTCTTTCTCTCTTTTCGTATTTCACTTGTATTTTTGGAGTGAAATAAAGTTTGAGTTGATTGTGTTTGAGGACTAGGCAAAAATCAAATTTTGCTAAACCTCGTTAATTTATGGTGTTCTTTTTATTATTGTCTCATTTACTATTTATTAGCTACCTTTAGATATAGTAGTTGTGATTTAATCACTCTCTATATATTCGGCTTCCGCAACAATTGGTATCAGAGCCAAGGTTCTATCTTAGTATGCTCTATGGTTGCAGCTTAGTCTAAGTTTCCACATCAGAAAAGAATTACTTTGGTGTTCTGTACTGTCAGCAAATAAATAGTATCTGTAGCAAAATGGAAGATAATAAAAATGAAGAGTCTACATCGGGTGTCAGTAATACATCGTTGGCATCTTCGCTTATGACAAGAATTATGTCAAATGCGAAATTTGCAGTTGAAATTTTTTATAAGTCAGGACATTTCGGGATGTGGCAAGCTGAGGTTCTTGATGTCCTTTTTCAACAAGGGCTAGATATTTCCATAGAAGAAAAGAAACCAGACAATATCAGAGAAGGAGATTGGAAGATTATCAACCGCGTTACTTGTGGTACTATTCGATCTTAACTCGCGAGAGAACAGAAGTATCCATACACAAAAGAAACTTCTGCAAATAAATTGTGGAATGCATTGGAGGATAAATTCTTGAAGAAACCAGTCAAAATAAGCTTTACATGAAAAAAAGACTGTTACGCTTCACATATGTTCCTGGTACTACAATGAATGATCATATCACCAGCTTCAATAAGTTGGCGACAGATTTGCAGAATATGGACGTGACTTTTACTGACGGAGATATGGCCTTAATGTTATTAAGTTCACTTCCCAATGAGTATGAGCACCTTCAAATAACTCTACTTCATGGGAATAATGAAGTATCTCTCAAAGAAGTTTTTTCTGCCTTGTACAACTATGAACAAAGAAAGAGAGAAAAACAAAAGAGTGGAAAAGGAGAAGCATTGGTCGTGAAAGGTCGTTCTCAAAATCATATGAGAACGAAGAAAGGAAGATCCAAGTCAAGATCCAGACCCAACAAAGATGAATGCGCTTTTTGCCGAGAAAAGGGGCACTAGAAGAAAGAATGTCCAAAGTTGAAAAACAAGGCCAAACCTAACAATGGGAAGGCTATCATGGATTCAAATGTAGCTGATTGTGACGACTCTGATTTCTCACTAGTTACAACTGAGCCATTTAAGCCATGTGACATATGGTTGACGGATTCAGCTTGTAGCTATCATATGTGTCCCAACCGGGACTGGTTCATTGATTTTCAAGAAGGAGAATGTGGATTTATCCACTTCGCAAATAACAATCCTCTTACCGCATATAGTATTGGTTCAATCCGATTAAGAAACCGTGATGGATTGATTAGAACATTAACAGAAGTTCGATACGTACTGGAATTGAAGAAAAATCTCATTTATGTAGGAGCCCTAGAGTCAAAGGGGTTCAAAGTCGTTGCACAAAATGGGATAATGAGAATATGCTCCGGTGCACTAGTGGTAATAAAGGAAATTCGGCGAAATAATAACATGTACCACTATCACGGTAGTACAGTTATTGGGACAGCAATGACTTCCAGTGATGACAAGGAGGCAGAAGCAACCAAGCTATGTCACATGCGCTTGGGACATGCTGGAGAAAAAGTCCTTGAAAATTTTATTAGATCAAGGATTATTAAAAGGAGTAAAGACTTGCAATTTGGAGTTTTGTGAGCATTGTGTCAAGGGGAAACAGACACGGGTTAAATTTGGAACAGCTATCCATAATACTAAAGGTATTTTGCTCTGATGTTGGGGGTGCTTCCAAAACACCTTCATTAGGTGCGAAACACTATTTTGTAACCTTTGTTGATGACTTTTTTCGGAAAGTGTGGGTGTGTACTCTGAAAACCGAAGATGAGGTACTGGAATTTTTCTCAATGGAAGGCGATGATAGAAACTCAAACAGGCAGAAAGATGAAGTGTCTCCGCACAGATAACGTCGGAGAACACCAAAATGGTCTTTACAATAAAATTTGTGAAGATGATGGCATTTTGAGACATTTCACCGTAAAAAATACACCACAACAGAATGGAGTGATAGAACACATGAACCGGACTTTGCTAGAGAAAGTTCGGTGTATGTGGTCCAATGATAGCTTGGGCAAAGAATTTTGGGCTGAGGCAATAACATATGCATGCCACCTCATTAATCGTTTACCATCTGCCGCTATTGGGGGCAAGACACCATTTGAAAAAAGGTATGAAAAACCTGCTGAAGATTATAGTTTTTTGCATATATTTGGCTCAACTGCATACTATCATGTGAAAAAGTCAAAATTGGATCTGAGAGCAAAGAAAGCTATATTTAAGGGGATTACTTCTGGAGCCAAAGGATACCGCTTATGGTGTCCAGAGACAAGAAAAACTATATTCAGCAGAGATGTTACCTTTGATGAATCTGCCATAACAGATAAGGTGACAGTTGAAGAGGTCAAACAAACTGATAGTGCTTCAAAGTAGGTGGAGTTTGAGGGAAAATTAATTTTCCCAACACAGGGAGAAAACAAGAAAACAATAGAAGATTTTCCCCTGGAAGAAGAGTCAGCAGAGAGGGAGATTCCAATTCAGGAACCTCAACAATAACTTGAATCAATAACAACCAGCAAGCCAAAAAGAACAATAAAAAAACCTATTCGTCTCATAGAGACGGTGGCTTGTGCAGCCTCAATTGTAGCTGATGGTGTACCTACCACTTATAAAGACGTAGTCCAAAGTTCAGAATAAGATAAGTGGAGGATTGTCATGAATGAAGAAATGCAATCTCTTCATCAGAATCGCACATGGAACTTGGCCAACCTCCCAAAAGGAAAGAAAGCAATTGGGTGCAAATGAGTATTTGCAAAGAAAGAAGGATTTCCTAACCAAGAAGATGCTCGCTACAAAGCAAAATTGGTGCCAAAGGATATGCTCAAAAGGAGGGAATTGACTATAATGAGATGTTTTCTCCAGTCATAAAACACTCCTCCATTAGAGTTTTGTTGGTTTTGGATAGTTCAGTTAGATGTAAAACCTGCATTTTTAGATGGAGACTTGGAAGAGGAAATCTATATGACTCAGCCTGAAGGATTCAAAGTTGTTGGAAAGGAAAATATGGTGTGCAAACTTGAAAAATCATTGTATAAATTGAAACAATCTTCTAGACAATGGCACAAACGATTTGACAAGTTTATGTTGCGACAGAAGTATAGAAGAAGCAAATACGATAATTGTGTGTATTTGCGCAAGCTTGAAGACGGATCCTTCATATATCTTGTCCTATACGTTGATGGTATGTTGATAGCTTTCAAAAGTCAAGAGAAAATTAAGAAGTTGAAGATTCAACTAAGAAAGGAGTTTGAGATGAAGGATTTGGGTGAGGCAAAAAAATTCTTGGCATGGAGATAAAAAGTGATAGACATTCAAAGAAACTCTATCTATCTCAGAAAGAATACTTGAAGAGAGTAATCGATGGATTTGGCATGAATGACAACACGAAGTCGGTTAGCACTCTGCTTGCTCCTCACTTTAAGCTTAGTGCTGCTATGTCACCGAAGAATGAAGCTGAACGAGAGTATATGTCAACAGTGTCATATGCGAATGCCGTTGGTAGCTTGATGTATGCAATGGTTTGTACAAGACCTGATATTTCACATGTTATCGGAGTTGTAAGAAGGTATATGCATGATCCAGAAAATGAGCATTGGCTAGCTGTGAAATGGATTCTATGGTATATTCATAATACTGTAGATGTTGGATTGATTTTTGAGCAGGAAAATAGTCAGTATCTTGTTGGATATTGTGACTCGGATTATGCGAGTGATTTGGACAAGCGTAGATCAACTACTGGTTATGTTTTCACTTTTGCAAATGCACCAGTTAGTTGAAAGTCTACTTTGCAGTCAACGGTTGCTTTGTCTACTACTGAGGCGGAGTACATGGCAAATACAGAGGCTGTAAAGGAGGCAACTTGGCTTCAAGGATTGCTTAGAGAGCTTGGTATTAGTCAAGAAAGCATCATATTGTTTTGTGATAGTGAGAGTGTTATCCAATTAGCAAAGAACCAAGTTTATCATGCAAGTACATTGATGTTTGATATCACTTTGCACGAGATATTATAGAGGAAGGTGGAGTCATGGCGCTGAAAATTCGGACTCAGACAACCCTACCGATATGCTAACAAAAGTAGTGACTGCGATCAAGTTTTAACTGTTTGAACTTGATCGACATTGTTGAACTTTGAAGATTGAAGTTGAAGGCACAATCAAAATTTAACAGTGAGAGAAAATTGAAAAAGTGGAATCTTGCCAAGGTGGAGTTTATTTAATTTGACAAGATTAATGTGAACTAGTGTGAACATTTGAAGCCTCATTTTAGGTAGAAACTGGTAGATGCCTTTTTCATGCATTTACATTGCATGATCACACTTAATATGATGTCATGCATGACATTATTTAAGCCATTTCCCTACTATAATTAGCAAGGGTTTTGTTCATTTGGAAATATCTCTCACTTGCATTCTTATCTCCTAAGGCATATGAATCTTCTTTCTCTCTTATAGTATTTCACTTGTATTTTTGGAGTAAAATAAAGTTTAAGTTGATTGTGTCCGAGGACTAGGCAAAAATCAAATTTTGCCGAACCTCGTTAATTTCTGGTGTTCTTTTTATTATCGTCTCATTTACTATTTATTAGCTACCGAACCTCGTTAATTTCTGGTGTTCTTTTTATTATCGTTTCATTTACTATTTATTAGCTACCTTTAGATATAATGGTTGTGATTTAAGCACTCTCTGTATATTCGCCTTCCGCAACACTTTTGAAGTTGAATTTTGACCACCCTAAGAGACCAAAACCAGATTTAAATCTGCAGTGTAGCACACGCACGCTGCCACATATTTTCCATGTCATTTTTATTTGGTTATTTTCCCCAAAAAAACCTTTGCTTCTCTTTGACCCATTGGAGGATACCATCCGGAAATACTACTATGTTTTTACTTCTGATTTCTATTAGAAGATCAAAAATTTACCTAATCATTGCAATATGCTTATCTCATCGTTCTGTAGTTTTGTTTTCAAAATGGGTCTGCCATTGAAATTTCAGTAGATGAAACACTAGTATTGGTGGCACTAGTTGTCATTAGTTTCAGGTACATAATAGTCATGAAGTGAGGCTAAGCACTTGTATGACTTTTGCTTTCTTTTCACCATCTTCTCCGACCAAAACCAATTTGCATTTCCAGAGAAGGTGAAATTAATCAATTTTTGTAAGAATAATGTGGATGGGAATCATACTCCGAATTAGAGCAGTAGCACTAATTGAGTCATCTAGATGCGTTCTCGCCGGCGGTAATGGTTGACTCATCATCGTTGGATCTCGCAATGGAAACGGTACCTATTTTGTAAAGCGGGCAAATCATATGTTCTGTTTGGATGCTCTCCAACGAGCTGTCGTGATTCAGATAAAAAAATTTGCCTGAAAAAAATAGCGGAGTTCCTCAGCTGCGGTGTAGATGGAGGAGCTACTGGACGGTGTGGGGTGATGAAGTTGACGGCAAGGACCATTGGGATTTTGTCCAAGGGTCGGAAACAAAGTGGAAGACATCGAAGTAGACCCAAACAAAAATTTTGAGGGACATAGGAGAAATAATAGGAAAAAGAAAACATTCACGCGCCTTAGTGAAGGTGAATACATTCCTCTGCCATGTCATCACTAAGCTAGCCTTTGGACATAGATTTGGTTAAAATTTAAAAAAATAATTTTTAATTTTGAAAACTTGAAAAATAATTTCAGAAACTTTTTAAAAATAAATCATTAATCTATGAACAAACAATATTTTCAAAAAAATTTGAAAAAAAGTTGCCAAAACCTATGGCCAAACGGGAGCTAAAGGTGGTTAAAATTTGGTTGAGGTTGTTTTGAGTGAGTGAATTACGTGAATTTCCTTTTTCTCATTAATTAGTACATTTATCCCCTTTTCAATTTTGATTTTTTCTCCTCTACACTTGCTCATTATTTTTCTATTTATGACGATTTTTTCCCTTCAATTTCTACTCAGTTTTTTTCCTTCTTTCTGAATTAGCTATTTAGTTTTGTCTCGTTTGATTGATCCATGCATAGTAAGTCATTTTGTTTCATTAGTATCTGAATTTTAGGAATTGCATAT